AGGACTATAGCTCTATAATAGAGGTTGAAGTCAGGGATGGTGATGCCTCAGGAAGTTACCTTATTATACAGCCACTTTGGAAATCAGTATGGTGATTCCTCAGGAAAATGGGAATCAGTCTACCACAAGATTCAGCAATTCCTCTCTTAGGCATATACCCAAAAGAAGCACATTCATACAACAAGGACATCTGTTCAACGATGTTCATAGCAGCATTATTTTTTTAATAGCCAGAAACTGGAAGCAACCTAGATGCCCCTCAACTGAAGAATGGATAAAAAAATGTGGTGCATCTACACAATGGAGTATGACTCAGTGGAAAAAAAGAATGTAAATCTTAAAATTGAATGGCAAATGGATGGAACTAGAAGAAACCATTCTGAGTGAGGTAACCCGGTCACAAAAAGACAAAAATGGTATGTACTCACTCATATATGGAGTTTAGACATAGAGCAAAGGATTACCAGCCTACAGTCCACACTGCCAGAGAAGCTAAGAAACAAGAAGGAATCTAAGAGATACATACATGGTCCGCTGGAGAAGGGGAAAGAGACAAGATCTCCTGAGCAAATTGAGAGCATGGGGGAGGGGAGAGTTGCTAGGAGAATGAGAAGGAGAGAAGAGGAGGGGTGAGGAGGACAGGAGGGAGCAGGAAGTTTGAGCTGGTGGAAGACTAGAAGAGAGCAAGATAAGAGATACCATAATAGAGGGAGACATTATATGTTTAAAGAGAATTCAGATATTAGGGATATATTTGGAGATCTACAAAGATGACACTAACTAACAATCTAAGCAACAGAGGAGAGGCTACCTTAAATGCCCTCCCTTAATAATGAGACTGAAGACTAACTTATATCCAATCCTATAGCCTTCATCCAGCAGCTGGTGGAAGTAGAAGCAGACAGCCACAGGTAAACACTGAACTGAACTGGAATCCAGTTGCAGAGAAGGAGAGTGATGAGCTAAGCGGTTGAGACCAGGCTGGTGAAACCCACAGAAACAGTGGACCTGAATAAGGGAGAGCTCTTGGTCCCCATACTAATAGCTGGGAAACCATCATGGGACTGATCCAGATCCCCTGAATGTGGGTGTCAGTGAGGAGACCTCGGAAATCTGTGCGGCTCCTTGTAGATCAGTACTTATCCCTAGCATAGGAATGGAATTTGGGAGCCCATCCCACATAGTGGGACACTCCCTGAGCCTAGACACATAGGATGGGCCTAGACCCTATCCCAAACTATGTGACATACTCAGAAGATCTCCTATGGAAGGCCTCACCCTTCCTAGGGAGCAGAAAGGGTATGGGATAGGTAGGGTGTTAGTTTAGGGGGCATAGGAAGAGGGGAGAGAGAGGGAACTGGAATTGACATGTGAGACAATCTTGTTTCTAATTCAAATAAAATAATTTTAAAAAGTGATGATAGATAATAGTTGATAAATAGAATATAAAAGGAAGGAAGGAAGGAAGGAAGGAAGGAAGGAAGGAAGGAAGGAAAAAGAAATGTGATTCAAAATTCAGCTCCAAATGCTGAGACAGTAGCCCAGTGGCAGAACTTTTAGTGAGCATGCAGAAGACCCTGGATTCATTTGCTTGCAGCAAAAACTAAGTTCAGCTCTCACTCAATTGAAAGAGATTAGGATGGTAACTCATACTTGGAAATACTTAATAATTGTAAATCTTGAGAGATTAGGGAAATCTTTACCAGAAGGAAAGGTTAGAACCTATCTAAACAAAGGGAAGTGTTAGAAAATTTAATTGATATAGAAAAAGTCTAATAAAATATCAGTGTAACAAAATCACAAAATGCAAAAGTAAAAATGCCAGGAGATGAGGTCTGAGAAGTTAAGAAGCGACATTTCCTTTAGGGTGTGGTGGATAATGTATCTAAATTTTACTTTCAAAAGAGCAGTCAAGAATTTCATTTAGTAAAAACTATGATTTCCTTTATACTGTAGACATATAATTTGAGCTTCTGATTCAGAGATAGTTCAGATGGGGCCATTTCTGGCTACTCAGATTGCAGATAACAGACTATTGAAAGAATGTAGCAAGGATTTAAATGAAGTAGATGACTTTGGTAATTGTTGTCAGGTGAATTCCTAGAATTTTGTGACAGGTTATTGGGAGTGAAAATCAAAATAGAGCTGAGAACAAAGCTCAGGTTCTAGGTAGAAAACCTTACCAGGTGATGTCATCACCAAGTGTTAGTCTGAACAAAAAGTGTCTCCTCTCTTCATTATATGCCTCAGAAAATGCCAATAGATGTTTTCCTTATAGAAAGGAAAGCCCACTAACATATCCAGTTCCCCTTAAAGGGTGGTGGGATATCCTACAGAAAACTTACAGAACAGAAACAAAGTCTTTTATTTTATTTTCTCTGAGTTCTGTACATTAGGCATTATTTTATATATTTTCTAATTTTTACTTTATAGAATATAGCTATCATATGTACAAGTATTCTATATTCTTGACATAGTAAATGAGGAAATGGTTAAAAATCTCTCATATGGCAAGCAATGATATCAACTTCCTAGTAGTCATACTCTTGTGTAATCTTCTCTTGTGTGGAAATTGAACTTTTGAAACAGTTCTAAGAATAACTGATGGCATTTTGGGAGTTAGGTTAAAAAGGTCTATGGCTTCTATTTTGGTTGCTGTATCTCATTCTATGTCTTATCTGTCTCATTATGCAGGAAACTACTTATTTAAACATATGTGGGGCCATGCTCCAAGGCTTATTATGAGAACATGTAGTGGATGTCTTTCCCTCTGAGACTTAAGATGACTGAAGACATATCTGGCCACTTAGTCACCATTACGCTAAAAACAACAATCTATAAACATTTCTTGCAGATGCTTCCACATACCCGATTACCTGAAACTATCAGATAATAAATGTTTGTCCTGAGTAAGTATAGTGGCACAGACCTGAAATTCTAATATTTAGAAGGTAGAAGCAGAATGACCATGAGTTTGGTGACAATTTGGGTAACACAGCAAGTTCCAAGAAAGCCTAGGCTGCATAGTAAAACCCTATCTTTAAATCAATCAGATCAGTAAATAAAACCAATGTGTATAGGTACTTAGCCACTATATTTTGGGCTAATTTGTTACACAGAAATAGCTAATACATTTGGCTTGCTAGCAAAAATCAGAATGAGTCAAATGTTTGATGAATAATGATCATAAACTATTTTGTTTATTAAAATACCTTAACAGAACTTTATTTGGTATAGAAATAACAACATAAACATGAATATGATTATCAACTAACACATTGAAGATATTAGTACTTTTGGGTTGCTCTATGGCTATATAATTCAAAAGCTATAAGACTGGCTTAAGATAGGATAGTAAACATTAGATAGGCTTTTCTGGATGGATGCATGGATGGATGGATGGATGGATGGATGGATGGATGGATGGATGGATGGATGGATGGATAGAATAGAAATAGAAAGGGTATTTTAACAAAGAAATTGAAATATTCCCCTTTGAAGAGATCCATGTAGCATTCCTATTACCTATTCAAAAGGAAACAGGGTATGTCAATTGTCCAGAAAATCTGACTCCAAAATTCCCTTTAGTTGTCTCTTATGTAGAGTGAAATTAGCATGATTTAGAGTCTAGGGACTGACTTGACAATTGTTCAGTCTAACACTTAAACTTGGACCTATCTTTTGTAGGACTTAGGACTAAATTCAGGGGCTCACATATGCTAGGCCAGTACTCTGAGCTATATCCATACCTGCAGCTCTCCTTAGATTTCAAGCCACCAGGGCTATGGGTTCTTTTGGCCTTTCACATCCAAAAAGTTCACCCATGTATGTTTCACCATCTTTAAGGGATATGGCTACTGCTATCAGTTGGTGAATGATTTTCTTCTGCTTGAGATGGGAAGTTCATGGCAAATATTCTCTTCCTTGGATGTATAACAGGGGCCCGATGAAGGAAGAGGTAAGAGAAAGCCAAAATGCCAGGCAGGCAGGTAATTGTTTAGGGCCTCATGCTATGGGTGTTTTGGATTTCCAGAGAGAAAAAAGTCTTTTAAGCTCAGGGCAGTTGCAAGTCACAGCCCTAAGGCCTGACTGGTTTTGTCAATCTGGCAGTTGAGTGTCAGTGCAAAGGACATCCCCAGCACCTGAGGAAAGAATTGAGAAAATGTGAGGTATTCATAAGAGAAAATACTTCTTCCATAGATTCTGAGATTGGTAACACAGAAAAGCAGGATTTCAATCACACTGTGACTACTCTCCAACATCACTCATTCCCCTCTAAGGAAGTTCTCTCTTTAAGATTAGAATAGCATTATAAAGAAAATGGAGACAATGATAGTATGATGAAAAAGTAGATCTTAGAAACATTTTTTCTCTTCTTAGGGAGTCACAGAAGCTTAGCTGTCTAGTCAAGTTGTCTTTGTAGAACAACTTAAGAAAATCAAGTCAGCTCTGCCCAAGCCATATGTTTCCTTTGCTTCCAATCAGAGAAAAGGTCATTTAACTCTTAGCTCTTGACTAAGTCTTAAATAATGTATAATACACCCAATACTTGGGGGGGAAATAGTGTTGTGAATATCACACAACAAAACAAAAAAAATTTTCCCTTTCACTTGTCAAAACAAGTACAAGCACAAAGGGAAAATTTCTATCATATTTTTCTTCTTAGTATAAAAGGTCAATTTTTCAAGTGAGCTTTTTATAATAATACTTTCCAGACCAGCTAAGTGAGCAACTAATGTAGAATTCTGCTTTGCACTCTTAATTTGACTGTGATTCATTCATATCTCTTAAGGGATATGCTGATTTGATAAATATTCTTTGTTTGTTTCTTGAGAGAGGTTTTCTGTAGCTTTGAAGCCTGTCCTGGAACACACTCTGTAGAGCAGGCTAGCATCAAACTCGCAAAGATCCACAAGCCTTTAATACCAGCCTCCCGAGTTCTGGTATTAAAGGCATGCACCACCGCCTGGTGATATATATTCTTATAACAAATTTCTTCCTGTTCTAAGTTGAATTGATAATATAATCATTGGTTTCTTGGCTGGAGGAACTCATGAATAACATGACAATTATTGCCTCATTCTACTTACCCAGTACTGTTCTAAGACTTTATGTTTTATCTCATTTAATACTAATAAGGTTCCTGGGATTAAGCTCTTACCTGTATCACACATACACAGATGGTAATGATTCCAATATACAAAAAGTTGGAATGAAACCACAATTTTGCTTTGTTATAACAACCCTAGGAAAAAAAATTACAGGTATGAATGATATCATTCAATATGTCAATCTTATAAGGAAGGTTATCTTAGATAGTAGTTTGTATTTATTTAATACAAAGATTTACATCAGATGTTACATTTTTATTTCATTTGCATGTTTAAAGAGTCAGGGATAAAGCAGAGAACTTTTAATCATAGACCTTTCTACTGATATCATCAGTATACTTGCACTTAACACAGAAGACTTAGCTCTTAACAGTTAAATTAGCTCCCAAGAAGTAAGTCAGAAATACTCATCCTCATGTTCTTCGGACACCCAATGCTGATCTAAAAGTAACGTATGAGATTATAGGTGTCGTGATCTTTGGATTAAGAAACTTATGTCTGCTTCAGTAACTGGCATTATAACCCCATAAAATTCCAGAATGGTTGACTGGTGGTTGACCTGTTTTTTTTTTCCTTGGACCTGAACATTTCTGTAGATTTTCAAACTTAGGAAAAGGTAATATGGGGTCAAGACAAGATCTTAGGGATTTGTTTACTAGAATATGGCTCTGTTTCCTTCTAGATGAAAAGAGACCCAAAATGAAAAGGGAAGGTGGTTTCTAAAAACTCATTTCCCAAAACTCTTATTTCTCCACATATGTTTAACTCATCTCATAAAGGGAATGGATCTGCCATCTCCAAGCAGAGACAGAAGACAGACACTTGACAAGCTTTTCTGCTCTAATCCTGTAAATTATACTTTAAACACAGTAGAACAACCTTTTGTTCAATAATTATTTAGAAATTTCTCTGGGCTAGTTTTATACAACTAACACACACACACACACACACACACACACACACACACACACACACACCACTCAGTTAATATTCTTTATGGTGTCTAACTGGATTAGGTGGCTCCTAGATTTTTGGAGGCTTCTATAGTAATATGGGGTTGTTTCCATGCTCTTTCTTGTTGTTGTTCCAAAATCCCTCTTTCTAGGTGGAAGGTTTAAGTCCTTTCTGGCATAGTTTATGATGTAACTAAGTTTGAACAAAGAAGACAATAACAGGAAAATTGCCAACAAAATTACCTGAACATCTGCACCTGGTGGGCAGGAAGATGGTGGACCACTGGTCCAATCACTTGAGCTGTTCACACCACAACACTGCAGCTGAAAGACAAGTCCCCAAAACATGATGGTTAGAAAATCAACAGAAAAACAAAACAAAAGAACCCTAAACTTTATACAATAGGTATGCTTGTCATTCAAATCTGACTCTAGGGAAGAAAATGCCGAAAGTCTACTACTACAGACTCTTTGGAACTAAATGTTCACAAGACTGTTATATCATTTTATTCACAGAAGATCTCTACAGAGTTTGGTTTATATATTTACATATTGAGTACTTTCTACCCAGCAAGCCTTGTAACATAGAACTAGGGCTAACCACACTGATCATGAGATTATTGAAAACAGAATATTTAGATACCTACTTTAATGAGAAAACAAGAAGAACCAGCTATGGTACTTTTGCAAATAGGATAAACTTATGATCCAACTATACTACTCTTGGACACACACCCAAAGGACTTTATATGCTACTAAAGAGAAATTTGCTTATCTATTTATTGCTATGCTTATCTATTTTATTGCTATCTATTCACAGTAGCTGAAATTGAAAATAACCTAAATGTCCATCAACTGATGAATGGATATCAAAAGTGTAGTACATTTATACAATGAAATATTACTAATTTCTTAAGAAAAATTAAATGAGAAAATTTCAGGTATATGAATGGAGGTGGAAACAATCATCCTGACAAAGGTAACCTGGACTCAGAAAAAATCATGTTCTTCTCTTATATGTGGATGCTAACTTTGAATGTTTATATTATTTGTTTAAACTGTAATGTAATATAGAGGTCAGAAAACTAGTAAAGGGGGAGGGGATGCTCTCCAGAAAGAGGGGATAGAAAGAATTCTGTCATATAAAGGAGAAAATGTAATGGGAATAGTTAAGTGATTTAGGGGATAGGAAGGCAGGATAAGGGGTAGAATACAAGAAGGGGTAACTGACACTAAAGAGCTTTGGGAAAACCATATGAAAACTTTATATATATATAAACTTTTATAATAGTGTGTTTCCATATATATGTATATTTTATATATGAACACATTTAGATGGAGTTAACCTATAACTGAACAATAATGACCCTACTAGACCCCAGACTAACAAAAAAAACATTTGATGGAATTGTTGGCCATTGAGGTCCTATAGACCCATAAATATTACAAGTGATTGCCAATGCCCCTTGTTATCTTCTGGAACTTGGTTATAAGACCCTATTACTGAAACCACCATATACATGAGTCATGGAATATGGAGAGATCAAGCTGGATTGAGTTGGAAGCTTGATTCCTACTGGCTAGAATTCATAGTGTTGGAAGGTTCTGTAGAAGCTACAAAGGGAGAAAAGTAGTCATAAACCTTACAGATTTGTGACACTGAGAGCTGTAATACTGATCAGCCTAGTAAGATATTACCACTGGGGCTTCCATGACACAGATGTTGTGGGTATAACCAATAACTTTCTGTTCAGATTTATGACACATACCTGACATAATTTTGAGGGCCAATAAGCTGTGACTAGGTAGGCTATAGGCCTTTGGGGAGAATCTATTAGTATTATTTTTCTAAATGGAAATAATAGCAAATCAATTTCTAATGAGTTATCACTATACCCATAGATGAGTGTCTCATTTAACCATCATAAGGGAAGCTTCTTTCTTTAGTAGATGGCGATTAACACAGACATCCACAACTCATCAATTTGTAGCAAATATGAGACTATGGAGTACTCAGCCCTAAACTGACACCTATATTATACCATCTGCTCCCAAGGTTGGGAGATCTGTGTGGAATAGTGGGCAGAAACGTGTAAGAGATAGAAGCGATGAATGACTATAAGGAAATAGCATTTCCTGGACAACAACAAGGCAGTTTCACATAGGAACTCAGTGATTGGGGCACAAATTCACACAAAAGAAAACACATGAAGGATAGAATGGTCAGGAAGTCCCATCCTTAAGAGTTATTGGCAATTGATTATGGCTGAAAGAAGGAGAGTCAGTAACCCGTGGCAGGTGAATTACACTCCTATGGCATGACCTCACCCAAAAATATATAGGTATCCTTAACTGAACTCAGTGAGTTTATAAATAGCATGAGTATACAAATTTTACTGAGTGGGGAAGTGGTAGCGGATCTAGGAAGAGTTGAAGAGTGAATATGATCAGAATATATGGTATGAAATTTTCAATAAATAAAATAATGTTATTTTAAAAGAAGACAGAGAGAGACTTCACCAAGCCTCTAGATTCACAGTACTTTGGGGAAACAGATTTCCTGAGATCAAAATAACCTGTGAGAATAAACCAGTCAGTAACAGAAAATTGTAGAATCTGTAGGACAAATAACCTAATTTTTCTTCGCATACACATAATATAAAGGAGTAGGACACTGTTATAGAGTGAAAGAAATGTTGAGACATTTCATCCAAATGTAGCATTTGAAACTTCTTAAATCTTGATTTGTTCAGTAACAGAAAATTGTAGAATCTGTAGGACAAATAACCTAATTTTTCTTCTCATACATATAATATAAAGGAGTAGGACACTGTTATAGAGTGAAATAAATGTTGAGACATTTCATCCAAATGTAGCATTTGAAACTTCTTAGATCTTGATTTGTTAAAATCAGTTGAAATTTTAGATAAAATTAGAATAATTGAAATATAGACTATTAGTGATATTTGAGAATTTATTTATTAATGTGGGGGGTGGGGGTGTGACTGTAAGTTCACTACATGCATGCAGGAACATGTGAAAGCCAGCAAAGAGCTTCTGACACTTTGGAATTGGAGTTACAGGAAGTTGTGAGCCACCAGGTAGGTGTTATAACAAAAACCAGATCATCTGGCAAAGCATAAGTGCTCTTAACCATTGATCCAGACTCTTTAAGGATTTTTAATGAGTGAGATGATGTAAGGCTCAGTATTTTTTTTTTGATTTAGAATATTCCAGCAAAATGTTTAGGGGATTGAATGAGGTGGCAGTGACAAAGTTGATGTGAAGCTGGTGACATGTATCAAGAGACATATTTTGTTTTGCTTTTTCTTTGTTATGTATCTGAACATTAAAAGGGGACTTCTAATCTGAATTGAATCAAATGAGGAATCTAAAATCTAAAGAGGTTGCAATTTTTCCAAGTCCTCCCATTCTTGTTTTTATGTTATAATTTCCTGTTATTATTACTGTCTATTCCTGATAAATCCATCATGGATGATGATAGTATTCTTTGGACAGATATCATGCCTGTGCAAGTCTCTCTAATCCATGTTTTTCCCCTAACATTCTAAGGAGATAATGTAAAGTTGATGTTTGTTCATGGGCATGGAGAAGCATGAGGAATGTGACACTAAAGACATAGGTAAAAAATATAATAATTTTGGTGACTCAGGAATTTGAAAGATTTCTTTTATTCTACTGCTATTTTAATGACATTTTTCAAAATGTATAAAGTCATCCAATATTATTTATTTGGGTCTTCATTTCATCTTGTTAGGGCCAAACAATGATCTTGTGTGAGTTAGTAAAGAATGAAAGAGAATGCAGAAAAAAATGTATCCATTGGATTAATTCCTATGCTGCTCTGCCTGTGAGAGCACAGACATTCCTTTGAACTTGAGAACTGATGATCTTTGAGTCTGAAACCTTTAGGAAAGAGACACTGGTTTCTAGGGACCAAAGCTGGGAATTCATTCTGATTCATGTGAGCAGGATTCTTTATGTACTTACATGTGACTGGATGAAGTCCCATGCTGCCATGGTGCTGTTGTCTGAGTGATAATGTTGAATGCTGTCATTCAGGCCTTCTGCCACATATGTGTTCAGCTAGGGTAAATCATATTCCACCAGAGAAGATATAGTAGAAACAAGATTAATTCAAGAAATAAGAGATTTATAGTAGACCAAATATATCCCCCACCCAAGGAGTAAGAACTGGGGAAGTAAGATGAGGAAGAGTATATGGGAAGACAAGCTAAAGAGGATATAGGTAATGGACTTTTATCCTTCCAAAACTATAGTTACAAGGGAAGAAAGTTAAACCCAAAGCCAAGGTCAAACCTTAATGAGAAGACTGATATCTCCATAAAGAGAAGTAGACAGGAGGAAAACAAGCTTGCTTCATTTTCTCTCCAATTATCTTTCAAGGAATCATTCAAATACAATATTCATGACAGTTTTTCTCTCCTCAACTGCAGTTAGTCTCTCTTCCTCCTACTTCTTTTGTATGACATTTTACTAATTTGCTTTACTAATGTTTCCACTGTGTATTCTCCTTCTCAGCACAACAAGAGAGTAAGCCATGTTCTTCATAACTTACCTTTTGTTCATACACAAAGAGCAAGATGGCTAAGGTCACCTCAGCAAGAAGAATAATCATCAGCAGAACAAAGAACTATGACAAAGCAGAAACATGATCATAACACTGATCCCCATTTGTGTTCTACCTCTCTCTACCTTGAGAGCAAACAGGTCTACACTGGTGTACATATGCATGTGTGTTCATGTGCCCACACACAAACAACAAAATAAACATAAAATCATGCCTAGGAACTTCTCCTGCCTCCTCAGGACTTCCTAAGTCCTCTCTTATTTTGTGAGTAATATGTGGATTCTACATATTTTTCCTACAGCTGGACTCTAGAAGGCAGATCAGCTACAACCTAACTCTGTTCTAACACTGTTGAATTAATTTTTAGCATCAGCCTAGTAAAACAGTTGTGCAAAAATCCAGGAAATTAAAGCATGAGTTTGGGTCCTGGTCCCATATATCCGATTAAGTCTAGCTCAAGGTATAGGGTGGATGATAATGAAGCTCAGGAGGACATCTGCATGGAGGAAGAGGGAGCACAATCACAGTTCTAAGTCAAGTTTTATCTTCAAATTTAGAATTTCAATCCCTGCATGACATTTATACAAAAACTTTTATAATTTCATTTGTTCTTCACCTTAAAAAAAACTTAACACCAATTTTGGCAGCTTAAATCATTTGTCCTGTCTCTGATATTTTCTATCTGTTTGAGAACTGTTTGATGGCATTTATTTTTAAATTACTGATATTATTATTGATCTTGGCTCTAGTTTAAGTGCCAATCTGCAAGAAAAGATTGATCACATGATTTAAGGGATAACTGTGTTGGGAACACATAAGTATGGAAGCATTGTTATACCAACCTCTGTCCTTAGTACAGTAGGAAATTTTTATCTCCTCTACTCCAATGCTAGTAGGCAAAATCTAAGCCTGATGGTACTTCTCAGGATGGTTATTTGATAGGTAACTGCTGCAAATCCCTTCCATTTTTAATAGTCAAGGACTTCAGCAAGGTTCTTCCCTAAATTGTGTCATTCCTACTATGAAAGCTACTTTGTGCATGAATTAAAGAACTCTATATCATTGGGGGTCACTATGTTCAGAAGAACCTAGTGATTATTTTTTCATCAGTTAATTACTATGTGTCAGAACCTGAAGTATGTTCTTCCATATGGATTTAAGCAGAAGGTAATAAATAATTTCAGACATCGAGGAAAAATATTATTAACAGTGACCATTACTGACAGTGTAAAATGGATACCATAAATAACAACAATGTCTTTTTCTGCATATCCTTGGGATCCCAGTGAGAAACAAACTAATATCAGTGTATAAAATCTTGGCTGATAAGAGATGGTTAGCTTTAATTATCAACATGACAGCCTATAATTAGCTGGCAACTTCTCAATAAATTGATACATTTTCTAGACTGAATTGTTCTGTGGGAAAGTCTGTGGGGAAATAATTTGATTGTTAATTAAACTGGAAGTCCAACCCTGATGGTTGGTAGCATTATCTCACTGAACACTGACCCGTGTAAGAATAAAGAAAACTACCAGAGAATACACAGCAAGCAATAAGTGATTCAAGCACTGTTTTCTATTTGGTCTTGACTGTGCATGTAATGCTTTAAGTCCCTGCTTTAACATTCAGCAATAATTGACTATATTCCCTGTATTTATGAGATCAAACAAATACTTCTGCTTCTAAATTTCTCTTTTCAAGGCATTTTACCACAGCAACAGCCTGTATTTATGAGATCAAACAAATACTTCTGCTTCTAAATTTCTCTTTTTCAAGGCATTTTACCACAGCAACAGAAAGGAAACAAAAATCAGAAATTGGTACCAAGAAGTGGGGCTGTTTCTGTTATGAACCTGGTATTTTTATTTTTTGGCAGAATAAAGAAGATGTTGGAATATTGATCTCGAAAATCCCACTGCATGATGTAGGTACAGTTTACTGGGATTTTCTTGTGGCATATTGAAAAGGGGATTACTAAGAGTAACACTGATGGCAGAGGTCCAGATCATGGACTTAGTCATTAACTGGACAAGGGAATATTCATGTGACATTTTGGCTAAGAATCTACCACATCTCAGAGTATCACACTTGATGCAAGGACTCACCGACATAAGCAGGCACTTATTTTCCTTGATTGATCCCATGCAGCCCAAGAAGGCAACTACCATAATAATGGAGCCCACAATGACGAGAACATTGCCCAGTGTCAGGAAGGGAAGATTACGGAAGAGTACTCCATAGGTGTTTTGGACCAGGAAGAAGATACCAAAGCCCAAAATGCAACAGCCACAGACCTGAAAGGAAGCATTCCATAGCATTCTAAAGTAGATGTAGTTCTTAAGTATCTCCTCATCTGTGTTTTCACCTCCTTGAGATCAGAATCATCTGGGTTTTTTTTTTCTCACTCAAGACTCATGATGTCACCTCTTCACTCAGTTTCCCCACTATCATATTAAAAGGAAATACCAGCACTTCATATGGAGTCACACTCATATCTTTTACTTC